ATGGCACAAATCACTAGCCCCTCTAACTTTTCCGTCCATTCCTGAACCACCCTTACATCTTCTCCCTCGTGATATGTACACTCTTTACTTCCTGTGAAGTTTCCAACTCATGAGCAGGAATATCGAAGTGAGTACCTCACACAAGGAGCGAATAACAGTCTGACGTAGGGACGGAATATTGACCGTTAGATTAGGATAGAGGGTATTTTTGGAGTTACGAAGAAGGGTGGAAAGATTGATGGAAGACGAAGAGAACCGCACAGCAATATGTCCTTCAGGATTTTGGGGCAGGTTCGAAGAGGTTGAGCAAGAACAGACAAGAGAATTAGACTTGGCAAGTGTCCTGTAGTTGTGCAGGTAGTCCCCGACCGATTGATTCTTTTGACACACAATTCTCAACATGCGGCAGATGAGTTTCTGCAAGGGTTTCCTGCCAGAAGAGGAATGAATGCCACGAATACAGATTTTCCGCAACTTGGATTTAGACAACCTTTCATCATGATACGAAATTCTCAGAAGTGGCTTCAATCGAATGTCAAATTTGAGCTTAGCCTTTAATACCCTTGCTAGTACATTCCTCAGAGTTGACCGGCTCTCCTTTTTGGAAAACGACCGAATAGTGTTGTAAGAATCCAACAAGTATTCAAAACTTCGAGTGTAGAGAGTTTTCCGAGAGGACGAGTGAGAAAGTAAGGGGATTACAGACCGTTTCTTTTCTTCAAAGCGAGAACAGAACGAAGAAGTTTCCTCCACATTCCGGGTATTACCGGACATCACCCATCCCCTGGCATCTTTCAGCAAACTAGTACCCTTCGTAGTCTTGATCACAATCGACCCGTATTTCCTACGTAACACTTTCCACTTATCGCACAGTACGTGACCGTAAGTGCACTCTACCAAAAACGATCTAACATGAAGTTTAGTAGCCTCATCAAAAACTTGATCAACAAAACCGAAGTCAACCCGAACGACGCTCAAAAACTGACAAAGTCTTTCGCGACTACTTCGTTGGACTGTTGACCCAGCCCATTGCCAAAACCTAGCCTCTTACTCCGCTCTTTTTTAACTAGTCGACATTTACGATTACCATTACTTCTACTTTGTCCCTTACTATTCAAAAACGGATTGCAAGTCCAAATGAAAAACTGCTCACACTCCAGCAGATCATTAACAGACGGATTCGCAATAGGTAATGCTACATAGTTCTCTACGCCATACCGTCGTAACCAGCAATACAATTTATGATTCCTGATCTCACTATCCTTACCTTGGTATTGCGATCTTCTGACATGTTCCTTCCAACGCACTTGTAACGAACGAGAAGTGCATCCTACATACGTGTGCTTCGCCCAGGGAGAAACCAAGATGTAAACAGAAGGTCCGGACAAAGATTAAAGTCGTAGTGGAAATTGGCAAGGGCAGAGACATAAGGTTCAAATTTCCTGGCGCGAGGGATAGCAAAGACAGAATTAGAAGCAAAACGTAGCTGTGGAATACAACATTGAGATTGGGATGACATAGATTAGTAGTGAGCTTCCTTAGTACCCAAAACTCTACGAGAGAGGAATAAATAGTACCGGTGCTTGGGGCCGAATCTACGAAGATTCTGAGCCTGCCATACCATTTGCGGATGCTTCTGCCACGTCAGTCAACGTGTCCTCCTGATCGTCTTGATCATCATCATCATCCTGCTCTTCCTCACCTTCCGTTTGTAACAACTTCCTGTTTGTCGGTCGCTCGAATGCGCTGACTGCATAAATGTCGGCGAGATCACCTGCAGTCTTCTTGATCCCCACATACTCAATCTCCTCATCTTTACAAAGCATTTCCAGTTGTGCCTTCCTTAACTTCGATACATCCATGAGGACCCGCTTGTAAAAAGCATCATGGTCTTCTCCTACCTTCCTCACGAAGGTCACTTTCACCTGATCTCCACCGCTCCTCTCTTTGAAACTCTTTCTTCGGAAGATCTTTCTTCGTCAGCTAGAAGGTGAACCGAGCTTAATATGATTGATCCTTTCCTTGAGCGCCAATACCTCCCATTTGGCCATGTCCTTCTCATCGCGCACTCTTCGACACGCCTCGGCTAGCTTGGCCCAATCACACGGTGTCTGGCCATCCATTGAAGTCTTGGTCTTGCCCTTCGCTGACTCTTTTGGAGGGCTTTTTTCCACCACTGCCTCCGCGCCACGCTTGTTTCCACGTCTGAGCTCCTCCATCTCATCCTTGAGTTTAAGAATGTCGTAGACCAAAGCCTGATTGTCCGATCTCAGAGCGCCAGACTTCTTGCCTAGCACTTACTCACAAACCTCCTTCGTGTTATCCTTGACCATCTTCCCTAATGAAGCTTCAAAATCTTGTCGTTCCTTCTTAGCTTTAGCTCTCTCCTCCTCTGCCTCTTGAGCTTATTTCCTCTCTTCTTCTTCCCTCTGTTTCTTCCCCTCTTTCCTTGCGTTCCTTCTCCTTACACGCCATTTCGTCAGCGTACCAGTCCCACACCTTCTCGAACTTCTCCTGTTTCTCCCGTTCTTTGTTGTCTGCCGCCCACCAGTTACCACGTTGATGCTGTTGATAACTCCCCCTGTTGTAGCCTCCACTGTAACCCTGGTTGTCGTCACTCCCGTCGTGTCCTTGATTATAGCTTCCGTGTTGTCCTGAATTCGAACCACCTCCTTCGTTGTGACCGCCATTCCCCTGTGCGCCTCGATACGGTACAATAGCGCTCGGTGCTGGTAGAAGTTCGTCGTTATCCGGAGCTCTCTCTCCACCTTGACCGCCTAAAAGGGGCTGCATTCGGGACTTGTTGTAGTTGACAATCCCTAATAAAGTGTCCTGGTTGCCTACAGTGATGGCAAACCCGTGACCCCTCGTAACTCATCTCGAAAGGAAGGGAAGGCTAGAATAGAATAGAATAGAAATAGGAAGAAGGAAAGTAAATGCGAAAACGATGAAAAGGAATACCGACTGTTCGTAGGTATCCTAGCACAACCACTCCAACGTAGTAGCTGCTACAACGGTTGTTGTGTGTATACACGTATGTTATTGACGCTCATTCATACAAAATCACACGGTGATGTCAACGACAAGACCGTATGACAATTGCAAGCACAGACGCATGGTGGGAGAAAAGACAGAGGTACAATCCGAGCACAGGTAGTGTGCCGTAAAAAATAATAATCGTCGAAACATCACGACCATGGCAACCGCGGACCTGGACCCGGACATGTCTGGACCGAGGCCCAGACATTTGTCTGGACTGGTTCATACGTCTGGTAATCCGGACAGGCACCGAACAACCGGACATGACCGGACCCGGACCGTCCTGACTGGTACAGCAGACACAAAAATGTCCGGACGGAAGGGGAAAAAAAAAAAAAAAAAAAAAAAAAAAAA